TCCCCCTTTCCATTGGTGCTTCAGCCAGAGAGAGACGTGGATGTGATCTTCTCATTCAATTACTCTTGGCAAGCTCCTTTTGAAGTGAGCATTATAAATAAACTTAAAAGTAAAGGCTTAGAATCCTCTGAATCTGCTATACCATATGTGAATATTGCTCTTTAATTCTAGTTTATGACAAGGCATTATTACGGGACCATTGATAATTTCTGGGTCGATGCTCGAGTAACCCAAGTGCAATGACAAATATAGTAATTATTTATTAATTAATTAATTTGTGATGCCAAGGATTGTGCCTGAGACTTTATATATACAAAACAGATATCCACTGAGCTATGGCTTTCTTCTTTTAAAGTTTTATTAAAGTTGCTTTAGCTTGACTAGTTAGGTCTTACAATAGTTCCAGTTTGGGGTAACTTTAATAGAATTATAGAGTTGGGAAGGGCTAATTAAGCATTGTCTAATACTCTATTCATTGCAAGTATAGGTGAGAGAACTCACACCTTTAATGGTAGTTAATTCCACTGTCAAATGTGCACTTTCTGTTAGGGTTTCTTGCTTTTGTTTTAAAAATCAGTCAGAATCTGCCTTCCTGTTTGATAATCTGTGTAATATCCTTTAAAAAAATGCAATTAGATTTCCTTTCAGTCTTCTCAAGGCTAAACATTCTCAGTTCCTTCAACCTTCAAAGCTTTTAAACTCTTGATTATCCTAAATTCCCCAGATTTTCTGTATTATTATTGAAGTTTTGCACCCTGGATGAATTAATCAGGAGTCTGAAATATAGTGGAATATTATTACTTGTTATTTAAAAACTGTATTTGCTTTGATGCAGTTCAAAATTGCATTTGCCTTTTTTGCTACTGTATCACACTGTTGAGTGATATTTGGTTTATTTATTTCTTTATATTTATTTTTTCACATTTTTGGACTGCCCATCTCCTGCAGTGCTATCTGCTATATCAAGTTCTTTTCTTTTTTTTTTCAAAGAATTTTTTATTGTTTTCAACATAAAAAAAAGGCACATCACAAATACATCACAATTGAAACCCCCCCCCCACCCCCCACCCGGACTTCCCAAACCTAATCCCAGGATACTATTCAACTAAAAGNTCCCCCTTTCCATTGGTGCTTCAGCCAGAGAGAGACGTGGATGTGATCTTCTCATTCAATTACTCTTGGCAAGCTCCTTTTGAAGTGAGCATTATAAATAAACTTAAAAGTAAAGGCTTAGAATCCTCTGAATCTGCTATACCATATGTGAATATTGCTCTTTAATTCTAGTTTATGACAAGGCATTATTACGGGACCAGTGATAATTTCTGGGTCGATGCTCGAGTAACCCAAGTGCAATGACAAATATAGTAATTATTTATTAATTAATTTGTGATGCCAAGGATTGTGCCTGAGACTTTATATATACAAAACAGATATCCACTGAGCTATGGCTTTCTTCTTTTAAAGTTTTATTAAAGTTGCTTTAGCTTGACTAGTTAGGTCTTACAATAGTTCCAGTTTGGGGTAACTTTAATAGAATTATAGAGTTGGGAAGGGCTAATTAAGCATCAAGTCTAATACTCTATTCATTGCAAGAATAGATGAGAGAACTCACACCTTTAATGGTAGTTAATTCCACTGTCAAATGTGCACTTTCTGTTAGGGTTTCTTGCTTTTGTTTTAAAAATCAGTCATAATCTGCCTTCCTGTTTGATAATCTGTGTAATATCCTTTAAAAAAATGCAATTAGATTTCCTTTCAGTCTTCTC